AAAAAAGCTGGGGTGGAGCGCAGTGGCTCATGACTATAATCCCAGCACTTTGGGAGGTTGAGGAAGACCGATCACTTGAGGCCAGGAGTTCGAGACCAGCCTGGCCAATATGGTGAAACCTATCTACTAAAAATATAAAAATTAGCCAGCCGTGGTGGTGCATGCCTGTAGTCCCAGCTACCTGGGAGGCTGAGGAATGAGAACCACTTGTACCCGAGAGGAGGAGGTTGCAGTGAGCTAAGATTGTGCCACTGTACTCCAGCCTGGGTAACACAGTGAGACTGTCTCAAAAAAAAAAAAAAAAAAAATCAGAAAAGCAGAGACTGTTTTAATCACTACTACATACTGAATACTTACATATGGGTAGCACTCAAATATCCAATAAATGAATGACTAAAACAGCTTTCTACCCATTTGTATGAGGTAAGGAAGGGGAGGCAGCAAGTATAGACTTTGAGGAAGTTCAACTGTGCAGAAAATGAAAGGTACAGACCACAGAGAAGCTTTGACTAAGGCAGAGTTTGCTTTTTAGATGAAAGAGACGTGAAAAATGTCTTTCCTCAAGAGAAGGACTAGAAGAGGTTAAATGTGGGTGAGGGCTGGGGAAGGGCATGTAACTGAAGGAAAAGCATGTGACGAAGTCAGAGGACAGAGGGTCCATAAACACAGATGGTGATATTAGCCTTTCTCAAGAAGGATGACATATCCTCCACAGACAGTGAAGTAGGGAGGTCAGGACAGAGTGGTGTGCATTTAATTAAGAGGAATGGTTATCTGAGGGCATTCCACCAATGCCTCTCCTCTCTGCTCCCAAAAGACTCTCTGCATACCTTCATCACCACGCTTATCATATGACATGGACATTTTCTCATCATCTCTCTCTCTCCCCCACTAGCTGCCAGCTACTTAATGCCACAATACAAGAAAGCTGTAAAGCAGGAGTGTCTGATCTTTTGGTTTCCCTGGGCCACAGTGGAAGAAGAAATGTCTTGGGCTACACATAAAATATACTAACACTAACGATATCTGAGTTTAAAAAAAAATCACACACACAAAAATCTTATAATGTTTTAAGAAGGTTTATGAATTTGTGTTGGGTTGCATTCAAAGCTGTCCCGGGTTGCATGTGTCTGTGAGCCACAGGTTGGACAAGCTCGTTGTAAAGTGAATAAGCATATGCACACTGCACCCATACTGCTTGCCTAAGCTTGACAAAGTGCCACCCCCCACCAGTTTTAACGTTTACTAGCTGTCTTTGGCCAGCTACTGAGCTGCACAAAAGTTCAATTTCCTCTATAAAATGGGGCATTCTGGCCAGGCATGGTGACTCAGCCTGCAATCCCAGCACACTGGGAGGTCGAGGCAGGCAGATCACTTGAGGTCAGGAGCTCGAGACCAGCCTGGCTAACATGATGAAACCCCATCTCTACTAAAAAAAAAAAAAAAAAAAAATTAGCCAAGCATGGTGGTGGGTGCCTATAATCCCAGTTACTTGGGAGGCTGAGGCAGGAGAATCTCTTAAACTTGGGAGGCAGAGGTTACAGTGAGCTGAGATCCTGCCACTGCACTCCAGGCTGGCTGACAGAATGAGACTCTGTCTCAAAAAAAAAAAGGTGGGGGGAGGGCATTCCCAGTTCTTACCTCACAGGACTGTTATGAGGATGAAATGAGATCACTGTGTAAGGTGCCAGGTATACTGTCTGTCATCGATTAAGCACTCAGTAAAAATTAGCTGTCATTTAACTGAAATAATAGCCTATCTTTCTTTGAAAAGTAGAAGGCGAATTATTCTGCCAAGTGTAGTGGAGTAAGTAATGGGGTAGAAAACCCAAGATCAGTAGTTTTAAAATGATTGTCAGACAAATGAGAGAAGGATAAAATTTAGTAAAATGATTGCTAATTCATGCTGTGAGCCCATCTGATGTTTTTCAGCTGTGCTGAGAAGAGTAGTTTGCCAAGGCAAACAGCTGGGTTGGGATTTAGGTAAAAAGCGGAAAAGGAAGTTAAGAGGAAGGGCTGAACTGTTCATTCCTTAAAAATACATCTTGGCTGGGCATGGTGGCTCACGCCTGTAATCCCAGCACTTTGGGAGGCCAAGGCAGGTGGTCACCTGACGCCAGGAGTTCAAAGACCAGCCTGACCAACATGGAGAAACCCCGTATCTACTAAAAATACAAAATTAGCCAGTCATGGTGGTACATGCCTGTAATCCCCTTACTCGGGAGGCTGAGGCAGGAGAATCGCTTGAACATAGGTGGCAGAGGGTGGCAGAGGTTACGGTGAGCCGAGATTGCACCATTCATTGCACTCTAGCCTGGGCAAAAAGAGCAAAACTCCATCTCAAAAAAAGAAAAGAAAAAAAAAAAAAGGAAAAACGATAGAAATATATCTATGTCTCATCTCCTATGTGCCAGGCTGCGGATCATGTACTCTGTACTGGACAGGAAAGGAGACAGAGACAGAAAAGTACTGATCAATTGTAAGAAAAGGGATTCCAGAGATCTCAGGGAATTTGAGAAAGGGGCATGGTTGCCAATCTAAGGTAAAAAAGATTTACAAAAGTAGACTTAAAAAACACTAAAAATTTTGTAGCAGTGGTATCTCTGGCAAAGGGGTTTGGCCCAATTTCTGTTTAATATTCCACTTTTCTATCATATATACTTTTTCATAATTCAAAATAAGAAAACTTGTTACTAAATAGGAAGAGCAAGAAACATGGAGTGAAGAAGTTAACTTTTGGTCAGAAACACAAGATATCCCATCTTGGGACATTAGATGGCACAACCCTGGCCGATTCACTGTTTTAAGTGGCTAGGCCTTTCAAGTCTGTTTTCCCCCAAACTTTCTACTTTGGTAATTTTCAATCCTACCAAAAAACTGAAAGGACAGTAGAATCAAAACCCATGTACAATCTTTACCTAACTTCACCAACATTAGTATTTGTGGCATTGGCCTTCTCCTTTCCCTGCTCTGAAACAAAACAACAGTCTCTCTTTTACACATCATATTCAATTCTCCAGACATTTGCTTACGTCTGGAGACACACCCTGCCAATGGCTTGGCCATGCTCCAATTATATAAGCAGCAGTGTCACAGGTGAGCTTTCCCCATTTCCGAAACACCTCTATTATGGATCTTTTTTTTTTCCCTTCTGAGACAGGGTCTTGCTCTATTGCCCAGGCTGGAGTGTAGTGGCATGATCTCGGCTCACTGTAACCTCTGCCACCCAGGTTGAAGCAATTCTCCTGCCTCAGTCTCCCGAGTAGCTGAGACTACAGGCACATAGTACCAAGTTCAGCTGATTATTTTTGTATTTTTAGTAGAGACGGGGTTTCACCATGTTGGCCAAGCTGGTCTTAAACTCCGGATCTCAGGTGATCCACCTGCCTCGGCCTCCCAAAGTGCTGGGATTACAGGCATGAGCCATCAAGCCCAGCCTGGATCATCTGTCGTTTTTTGTTTTGTTTTGTTTTTTGGTTCTTTTTTGAGACAGTCTCACTCTTTCACCCAGGCTGGAGTACAGTGGTGCAATCTCAGCTCACTGCAAACCTTCGCCTCCCGAGTTCAAATGATTCTCCTGCCTCAGCCTCCCAAGTAGCTGGGATTACAAGTGTGCACCACCACACCCAGCTAATTTTTGTATTTTTAGTGGAGATGGGGTTTCACCATGTTCGCCAGGCTAGTCTGGAACTCCTGACCTCAGGTGATCTACCCACCTCAGCCTCCCAGAGCGCTGGGTTTATAAGCGTGAGCCACCGTACCCGGCCTATCATCTGGCTTTTATAAGATTCATCCTCTCAGCCCCACTTACTCTCCCAAGATAACCTCCCAATGCTCTAGGCACACCTTTGAATTCCTAATCTTCAAATAAAAATTATCCCTTCTGTACTTTTATGCCACACAAACAGAGTTCCTTGGTTGAAGTACATTCATTATTCATTCTCTGAGTTTCTATCATGTCCACTTGTGAACCATATCCTTCCATTTTCTCTGAAGACATAGTACAGAAATTTAAAGTTGTTTTACAGTTCTTGATTTGCAGTTATTTCTATAGTCATCTTCTAAATTCACTCTAGAAATGCCTAATCATTTCAAATTTTCACTCCTTCAGTCTAATTTCCATTTTGAATATAGCTAATATTTCTCTCATTTATAATTTATTCTTCACAATAGATTCATCTCATGTTACAGCACTGGCCAAGCAAGAACCCTATTAGGTTAATATTAACTTCATGTAGAGTGGGTATGATTTTGGAAAAAAATAACCTGCAGAATCAGGGACTCAGAGGTAACAAAAAGGGAGAATATAACCTGAGGATAATGGGTCAGAAATGATGCCATAGCCATTTCTTTTGCTTTCTTTCTTTGGCTATAGTTTTCTCCAATCTCCCTAAGGCCTAATAATCTGCAGGGGGAGAGGAGAATCTCTTGCTTGGATCTATTCAAACTATGGAGTATATAATTTAAAAAATGACTCCTTATGAAGTTGCCCCTCTTGACAAGCAAGGTACTCAACTACCATTCTTTTTTATTTTTATTTATTTATTTATTTTTAGGATCTCACTCCGTCACCTACCCTGGAGTGCCATGGTGTGTGATCACAGCCCACTGCAGCCTCAAACTTCTGGGCTCAAGCAATCTTTCTGCCTCCCTGTATCTAGGACTATAGGCATGTGCCATCACATCCAGATAATTTTTAAATTTTCTGTAGAGAAAGGGTCTTGCTATGTTGCCCAGGCTGATCTCATTCTTAATATGTAGTGTTTAGTGCATGTTTTTGGTTTGGAACCAGTTTAGTCATCATAAAAATTAAAGTAGTTTCTTTCAAATGCTTGTTTATATTAGGAAAACTTAAAAATTCGAAGTAACTTTCAGTAGTAGATACTGAACCTTGAAACAAAAACACACATATAATAATGAAGAAAAAGGGCAAGAACAGAATAAAGAATAAAAATGACAGGCCAAGTGTGGTGACTCATGCCTGTAATCCCAGCACTTTGGGAGGCTGGGGTGGGCGTATCACAAAGTCAGGAGTTCAAGACAAGCCTGACCAACATGGTGAAACCCCGTCTTTACTAAAAATACAAAAAATAGCTAGGCGTGGTGGCACACGCCTGTAATCCCAGCTACTCAGGAGGCTGAGGCAGGAGAATAGCTTGAACCCAGGAGGTGGAGATTGCAGTGAGCCGAGATCGTGCCACTGCACTCCAACCCGGGCAACAGAGCAAGACTCCATCTCAAAAATAAAATAAAATAAAATAAAATAAAATAAAATAAAATTTGAATGGATCATTTCTAATACCTTCAGCTATTTCAGAAAGAATAGCCTAAGTGAGACAAAAGGAAATTTCAAAAGCCAGCCAGGATGACCTTATATCCCTGGACTAACGAGCTACAGTTTCTCTGAACTTTTAGAAGAATGTATTACTGGTATACAG